TTTTAATTTATTATAATTATTATGGTTACATAAAAAGGTGTTAATGTTGAAAAAAACAAGAATAAATATAATAATCAGAATAAATTGATTCACGATAAGATTAACTCGCTTCTGCGATTATTCCATTTTGACATTGACAATTTGAAATTAGTATGGGAGGAGGTATTTAAAATGTTTCAGCATAAATAACCCTAAGCATAAATAAAACCTTAAAACATTAATAAAAGGTAAAATATTTAGGACAGAATAATTAGAATTTATTTATAATTTATTTATAAGATGGTACTGAGTAATATGTCAAGGGTATATATTAATTTATTATAATTACTGCGGTTACATCAAAAAAGGTGTTGATGCTGACAAACAAAGAATTAACAGTACCATAATTAAGAAACACGATTCAAATGATATAGTCCAGATGGGCGTGTCGTGTGAAAGTACGATATATCGCCACACATGTGTTGCGTAGTGGACGAACCGGATCGTACAGTTGGGGATAGTATATATTATTACTCTATATATTATAATACTCTTACGGTGATCATTATCAATATATTATGTAAGTTCATTCACCGCATAAGATCTGTAGCTTTATTAATCTGATGGATTGTCAATTACAAGTGGATTTCAATCAACGAATAGATTTAAATAGAAATAGTCCATTATTAATGATTAGAATGTGCGAAATCATTGTTACAGTATAATTTACTAATGATTATTTTGTATAACAATTGGAATAATAAAGCTGTAGTTACACCTGATAGAAAGTTCTATATAAAATTTGTCTGTAGGTATCGTGAATATCTTAGATAGTATTTCTACGTAAAAGGAGAGGTGTTATTTAAACTGTAGTATATTTGTCTGTATGCATAAATCCTAAAGAGATAATCCAATTTAAAGACGCCTTTTTAGAGCTAAGTTTAATCTGAATAAATTCTAGATTTTTTTCTAATATGGAGTTTAGTAGAAATAAGACCACCCCCAGTAGAAAGGTTAGAAAATGGCATTATAAAATAAGGTAGGTAGATAATTTTTGTGATAAAAAATGTACTGTGTAATAAGTATACGATCAACAATATAAAGTAGATAAAACCTCACATACTAAAACAGAGCTCAAATATGGTAATGTTAAAAATAACATCTTACAAACTAAAACAAAACTCAATTATTACATCGTCTAACTGAATATTAAATATAGAAGGGTCTAAAAGTTTAATGATTTCGATGTATAACTCAAATCTTAAATGCAAATGATAAAGGAGGGTTTTATATAATTAAAAATAGAAACTCACACCTTTAACAGGGTATTATTAGTCGTTGCTATTTTTGGCGTTTTTACATTTTCAATAAAGGAATTAAAATTATATTTATATAAGAAACTTGTTGGAATAAAAGAATATTGAAGAATTGTAGTATAAAGTAGTATTATTTGTTACTTATCGTCATCATCATATCAGCCTTTAACTGTCCATTGCGGAAAATAAGCCTCCCCTTAAGGGGATTTTGCCAGTAGTTGCCACGCTTGACAAGTGGAATGGCAACCGCAGTCAGGATTTAGAGATGTATTAAGAGGGACGCTGCTGCCTATCCCTCGCCCTCCTTAGTGGGCTCTTACGACACCCACGGAAAAGGAAAGGTTGGTCTATTCCATGCCAGGACCACACGGCCATTTGTTAGTTATGCTGTGATAGAATACAATATACTTAGTTCAGGTATCGAATTAATAAAATCTATATTGCTTGATATTTGATGTACTTAAAGTAATACGCCTTCTTATTGTATAAGTATCTATATTAGGTATTATTACAGGAATGGATATCTTCTATAAAGGTCATGATAGATCAATCTAACGCCACCTATCACGAAAATTTACTTAAAAGGTCAGAAATATGATTTTATGTATCCGCTAGTTCTATCCTGCGGAATCGAACACATTTAAAACCTAGTTAGTCTATATATCATGTCAGTGTACTAACAGGAGCTGTAATAGTTAAGTCGAACAAAGCTTGACTGTGTTTAGGGATTCCAAGATAAAATTCCAGCGTAAACCTCTAAATTTTCAAATGAACGATTGTATCGTTTAAAAATTAATGTTACTTGCTTTGTAGGATATGTAAAGTGATTGTTAAGTATGTCACATCAAAATCTTCTATTTGTACCTAAGACAATATTAATATTTAAAGGCGGCATTTACATGCAATATATAAGCAATAATACAAATAGATTAATATAAGTATTTGTAACATATTATAAAATTAATATTACAAACGCAGTAAATACTAGCTGCGCAGTAATCAGAAAGGATTGTGCCGACTACGTGTAATCTCTTTGATAAGAGAAAAAAAAAAGGTCAAACAATCATCATACCATCCATCATAGTGGAACCCTCTTATTTCTTCCAAGGGCTCGCAATACCGTAGCACAAAGGGCAGATTCACGAATACCCTTGTAATTAATCGCCATCTTGAAATTTGGAAGTACACATCCGTTTCCGGAAAAGTTAAATTAAAATTAATATAATCTCTCACTTTAATTAAACGAAGGGTCCTTATGTCCGTCCGGTACATTCGGTTATTATTGTGGAATGAAAACGTAATTTTGAAATTAATTAACTAGTTTTATCCTTTTACGTATATCGGTTTAATATAATGAGGTGTAAGTATTGACTTTGGATTGACTATAAATCGAATAGATATGTGATTACCACCCGCGTTTGGTAACTATGCCGATTAAGCAAGGTGATACCCATTATATTTTAGGGCTCCTTAGCTGACGGAAATGTATTCTACATTTCCGTCGGCTATAGCCGATTATTAATAACAATACTTTTTAATGGTCCGATCATAACAATATTGTCATTTATAATCATTATAAAAGTAAAGAGATATCAAAAATAGTAATTATTGGTAATAATTTTTTGATAAATCTCTGTATGACTATAATACAACATATTGAATGTAAAAGATTTTTGTAACAAAATACTCTTAATAAGAATTTCATATTACTAACAAAATTGTTAATTATCGAGTAAGATTTTGCACACATTTTATACTTTAGGTCGTCAGCTTATTTGTTATTCCGACTTAAATTAAATTATTACTGAAATTTTGGATTTTATTTCTGAAAAAAGTATTTGTGAAAATATAAATTACAATAGTAAAAAGCGAAATAATAATAATATTTTGAATGATAGATTTACACACGTTCACAATAATTTTTTTTTTAAAAATTACTAATATTAATCTGTTTGTAATTAATCCGTAAAACACGAAGTAAATATATGAGTAAAGTCTATAGAACTAATTATAATGTTTTGTTATTATAAAATTCAACAATTAAAAATAGTATAGTCATTCTGAAATAGTAATTAGTTCATTGTTTTTATATTAATTTGTTAAATAACTTGTTTTATAATTTCTTAGATAACACAAAAGTTGTCAAATTTGAGTATGAGCGCTCTGTGTGTGTGCTATGTAGAAATATAATCCCTAGATAAGTGAATTATATTACTGAATAATTATAGTTCTTACAACACTTACATACCTATTGTAAAGCAACGTACTCGTGCATTGTCCTAATTCTCAGTAATTCACACACGACATTTTATGTTTTTGTCAATATAAACGTTACTATGTTAACTATGTATATATAGGTAGTATGAACGGAATTTGTCTTAAAATTGTTGTATTGATACATTTTTTGCAACATTTAAAATATTATTAAATGTAAAGACTATATAGAAGCATTCTAAATATTATACGTTCGTGAAAAAAATATAATCTTTTGAGAAACTTCTTTTTTTTCGAAAAGTAAAAGCATATAAGATACCTCCGACTACTCCAATAGTTAAAGTCAATGTTTACTGTTACCGTGGTAGTGAATGTAACATTCGACATGTTCTGCCATATATATACATGTATGTATTGTGTAAGTAACACGTATATGATATTATGTAAGGATTTTATTTTATATTTAATGTCGCTTATGTATAAATAAAGGAAAATGTTTTTTTTTTTCAATTAGTGAGAGAGCCAATATTACTTTACAATCGGTTTTATTTTTAATTTTCAAAAAAGATTGTTTTTGATGTTTAAACATTGAGTGCAATTATTAAATTAAAATCTGTTATATTAAAAAAAGAAACACTTATTGTATTTGCCATTACAGAAGTCAAATAAAACGAGACCAAAATAAATAATGCCACCGTTTTCCCTAAAAAAACAAAACAAAAAGTGACTTAGAGTGGCAGCCGTAAAATTTTTCGTAACAAAAATTCATCGGCCAGTTGAGGCGCCTAACAACTTTTATATTAAATTTCTTCCACGTCAAACTTCCCTCATAAGTCCCGGGGGTGAGAAATCAAGGCGCACACTGCATTGTGTGAGGTGTCACTTTGTCTAGTTTTTATATAGTAATTTTAATTCTATATTTTAACCAAAAGATGTCGTTGAATCAAATTAATTTTGGCTATCTAATATATATATATATATATATATATTGCTATATATGATCTGTATTGTTTAAAGTCGTATTTATAGTATTATCTATTTATTTTTTTATTTATATCTACAGCTAAAGCTTTCTTTACTTTAGGTTACACAGTGTATCAATGAAAGCGGTCTTCCATTAGATCTTCATGTGAAGATACAAGAAATATGTATTTCTTGTAACTTTTCTAAATACACATGTCTTTAAGTTACGTCGAATAGTTTTAACCAGTTGAAAGTACATTTCACTTCTTTATTATTGCAAAATAAATACAAGAAATCATACATAATACCCATCGAAGTCTTGTATTTTTTAGGCTAATGCGGAACTATCGAATGTTATTAGAATTATGAGTAAATTGATAAAAAATATATATTAGTTTATATTATCTACGTGTTTCATCTGCTTCCATAAAATATTAATATTGTTTTATTTATAGTGTTTATGCAGTGATTTATTGATTTTTTTTTAAATTAATACGAAAAAAATGTTATATTGTTTTGTGGGCTCACCTGTGCAGGCGATCTGTCCTGCTGTGCTTCTTTAGTATTAGCGTATTCGATTCCAGGGGTGACTGATGGTGCCACTGAAAAAAAAATACACAATTTTTTCTTATAACCATCATTTCAGCTGTTATCTATCCTTTGCTGAACATAGGTCTGCTCCATAGGCCATTTCTTATAATATATGCATTTGTTTTTATCATCCTACATTCTAAGTGAGATGATTTATTCAGATTTTTCGCTTTCTTAAAATTTAAATATTTACAATTAAATTAAATTTACAATTAAGTAAAAATACACATAAAAGATATCCATAAAAGAGATTAGTCATTATCATACCAGCCGTTAACTGTCTACTGCTGAATATGGGAAGGCTTATGTTACAATAAGGATAGCATAAGGGGAGCTTTGCCAGTAGTTGTCAAGTTTGGTAGACGGGATGGCAACCGCAGTTAGGGTTTTAGTGATTTTAAAATCTATTTTAAGCAAACTAGCTTTTAAACATAAATTGCCCATCTAACACTTAGAAAAATTACCTTCCCTATAAACTTAATCTTGCTGGTTATTCTGTTTGAGTCATCCATTGCTATTTGCTCTCCTATTATAGTTTCTTAATTTGTATAGTAATATATTATATATTTATTAAGTATATGTATATATTTATTTATTTAATATATTATGTGTATGTTTATATTAGTGTAATTATATGTTTATTTTATACGAATATATCAAGTATTGCTTTATTTTTTCACTATTTATTATAATAATGCACCACCTACTTATTTTTCGGTTTGTCGAATAGTTGACTGGTAGAGAACACCGTCCGGTGTTAAATCCGCCAAATGTACATATAATTTTACTGTGCATTAAAGTTTAAATAAATAAAATATTATGTAGATATTGACACAAGTATAATTATTTTTGTCTTTGTTATAATTATTTAAAATAGATAAAATAATAATTGAAAGTGCATGAAGGAAGAGATGTATGTAACGGTAGGGGTTATTGGTATTTGGTTCTTTGTCTATTTCGCAAAGGACTTGGCATAGAGATATATGAATATCTACTTTATATAAATACAATAAGGTTGGTTTATACTCTTATCTTACCAGTAGAAAGAACTGGCGCCCTTTTGTCAACACCGGCATTTCCTTCGACACCTCTTCTTTTATCTTCTTGTGGTTCTTCTTTTTGCTTATTTCTAGACGGTCTTAGTTCAGCTGCGTAGCTGGCAGCCACCAGCAAAAGTATCGTCTGTTAAATTTTTTAAAACATAATTAAATATTAATTATAATTTAAAAATTTTATTAATATAAAACACTAAAAGTGAAATTTTAATACTGTTTCACAGAGTTACAAGAAGCGTGAGATTTTGTATAAGTTGTCTTTTTATAAAGTATTCGTAAGCGAACATTAAGAAAGGAATATTGAGAATTCATCTCCGTAGGGTGTAGAATGGGATACGAAAGTTTGTTTGGAAGTAACTGATGCGAAATACTCATATATAGGACACACAGTGCATTATTTAATTGTAATTGAAATAATTTCTTTCGCATTTCTTCGTATCTTTCGTATATTTTATATGAACGCTATCTCAAATTGGGTGGTCCCACTAAAAATCAGCGCTGTGGTATTGTTAAAGCTACAGCATATGCTGAGTGGGAGTCCTATTTGGTATTCACTGAAGTACGTATAATGTTGAATGGTTAATAAATATTTTGTATTCTAATGTGAAGTGCTGAATAAACGTTCTTCTATTATATTTACTTATTAAAAACTTGTATTATTTTTACAGATAATAGTAGGAACTCATAATTATTTTACACACACATACACACACACACACACACACACTAAATTATTTGCATTATACAAACATAGGCTTTTTTTTAATGCGGATAATGAATACTATCAATTTTTAATTATTTATATAAAGTTTTATATTTTATTATAATATGTTTGTATATAATAAAGTCCATTAGGTATATTATTAAATTCTAATAATATAATTATGAGTATAGCTAATATAATAAATCCAGTGAATCCATTTCACTATTAATTATAAATCACCAACACCGAGCAAATTTTTGTCACGTCACTATAATAATTAACAAACCGTAAATTTCATGTCACACTGCGCACGCGCTCCCGCGCACTTTCCACCGCACTAATATGAATGCGCGTGTGACAGTGAGCTGATGCTTATATCGTCTCGGCTTGTCACCGCAGGGTGCTGTAGTGGTGATGAGGTGGTTTGACCGTATGCATAAATAAGGTTATATTACATATAATAATAGCTTTTTAGTTTACCTAATATAATTGTGGATATGTTTGTATAGTAATTAGTTAGGATCGCACAGTAAAGCGGTATGATATTTAAAAAGTTGTATTATTTTAGTATCACTTTTTTTCAACAGTGATTGAAAAAAATAATTAGAAAAAAATAATTTACTAAAATAATTCTAATAAAATTATTATGATGAATAAATTTCTCATGAAAAAAGTAATAAAATAGCTGTAATATATTGGAAATTTTTGGAGTCACGAACTTTGGATAAATTTGATTAAATTTTGGATATTTATTAATTTTCTCTTTATTTACCAAAATAATTATTACTAGGTGGTTTCTTTTTTACTTAATTTTGTAATGCCTGCCGACTTAAAAAAAATGGTGACACAGTTATGAGGTAATTGTATGCGACACAAAGACAGAAGTAGGAAAATTTAAAGTATCTAATATAAAATTGTGGGAATGTGTAAATTTCTCATCGCTTCCACTGTTGAGTCAGAAACATGCAAGTAATGACGGGTGTTGCTACAGACCATCCGCCAAACAACCAAAGTACCTACCTACTATGTATCCACTGCTAGTTAAATTAATACTGGTTTAGTAAACAAAATTACACCCGTACACTACTAGTTAATGGGGCTTTATTTAGGTGTTGCAGAAATACGGGGAAATTAGGAATTTCGATAAATCCCTATTCAGAATTCATCATTTCAGCTATTAACTGTCCACTGCTGAATATAAGCCTTCCTCATAAGGGGAGTTTTACTAGTAGTTGCCACGCTCGTCAGGCGGGTTGGCAACCGCAGTTAGTTAGCTTTAAGAGATGTTTTAAGTGGGGAGCTGCTGCTTATCCCTCTACCATTAAGCTTCTTTAATCGCCTTTTACGACACCCACAAGAAAAGAAGGGATGACCTATCTATATATGTATTCTATGTCGATACAATGCGGTCTAAATATCTGGAGATAATGTGATAAAACATCATAAGAGTCTATATATATATATATATATATATATATATATATATATATATATATATATATATATATATATACATATATTTTTATATTTTACACAGTATTTTATATATTTTTATATATAATTTTAGTGGTTGTTTTACCAAATTGGATTAAGTTATTTTATGAGGTAAGATTGCTTTTACTCGTTTTCAGAATGATATATTGTACTTTTGTACTAGTCGCCCACTCGTCGACGGCATGGAATTTCATCCCCATACCTTAATTGGAACATAAATTGCCGCTTATAGTGTGTAATATTATTTTGCAAGCATATAGGTTACAGAAATTGTTTACCATCAGGCGATGATGTCAGACCCATGATTGTGACCAAATTTTTATAAAATACGAGTATTAAATAACCATTTTTTATACTTTTATACAATTGGATAACGGAAATGTAATGGATATGTTTATCATTTCTGATAATTGTTTTGAATTCATTCGGGAGTTTTCTATAGAATTGTACGGATGCTTTCATCGTCGTATCTCGCCTTGCATTAAATTTCTGTTATGTTTTAATATTGTGATTATATTTTTACAACCATTGAATAATATGGAAAAAATGTTTTACTAAACTAGGTGTTATCTTGCGGAAGTCTACTATTTTGAAAATGACAAAGATACTATTTTGAAAGTGTTTTGATTATCTGTCAACACTTTTGATACTTTGGAAAATCACTTGTTATTTTATTCAAGAATTCTTGAAAAGTATCCTCAGTTTCTTGTTTCCCTGTAGCATGTTTACAATCTATACGTTGTTAATATGTCTGCTGGTTGTTAAAGTTAAAACATTATGAATGATATTAACTTTTATATATATAAAAATAATAATAATAATAATAACAAATCTATTCTTCTATCAATAGTCCTATTCTATCAATATATATCTAATTTTTAAAACCAACACGTTTTAATCACAGAAATAAGTATTATCTAAAAATATATTTTTTTAGCTTTTTCTAACTCCTTATAAATATTGGAATGAAATTGATACTCTTCGATTGAATCAAATTACCAATAAACCTTTTTGTGGTTTTTCATAAGGAAAATCCTATCTTAATGAAATAATACAGCATTACATCAATCTGTCCAAACGTTCATTGCCTTTTTTTCCTCAAAGAGCCTCGTTAATAAAATCATGATATTACTAATCTACATTCTATTAACATTGTACCGGTAAGTATAATAGATAGATAGATACTCTTTATTTCCTCTAAAATATTACAGTAGTATTATAGATATAAATAATTACAAGAAATGTTCACATTGAGAAAACATTAGGCGGCTAAAAGTGATCTCTTCCAGATAACCTTTGGATGGAGAAGAGTAGTTATAGAGTTTGATCGGCGAGGTACGATGACAATTCTGTTATTTTTAAAGAATGTCTTTAAAAATAATAATGTAATACATTGTTTTATTTTAAAAATTCTATAGATATGCGTTTGTTACTATTGTAAAGAAGTTTAAGTTACTTTTTATATTGTTAATAGTAGTAAAGATCCTTCGATGACAAAATAGTAAGCAAATATGAAAGTTTTGTTTGTATTTTAAATTTATGTTTATAGAGAATCACTACTAATTTTAATGTCGGTTACTAGTATTTAAACGACTTAATTTCGCTGAATAATTTAAAATAAAATTTATTAATTTATTTATTTCACTGTCATTGACGTAGTTTTTACATTCATGGATTGATTTTTTTTATAAAACTTAAATATAACAGTACCCACTCTTATTATAAGGCAGTTTATTTATTGCACAAAAAATAAAACCAAATATCCAACTCATTATCTAACTGAAGCCACAAAATAACTGTTTAAAACGTACACCACTTCTAAATCTACTTACCGACATTTTGTCTTTTTGCATAAAAATGTATGACATAACACCGTATGAATACCTAGTTGGGCAATTTTAATTTAGTTCTTTTTTTGCGCTACGTATGTTAGTAGTTATAACACGTCTTTAATGCTGTCATGCTCTAATCTCTCAGATTTCAAAAGGTTTCCGCTTAATAACCTGAGTATCTACCATTGAATCTAGACTAGTGATGTTAACCATAACATAGGATATTTAACAGTTGTTATTATCCGTTATTTTAATTAAGGTAATATGGTATTAATTAATCATTGGTCCACGGCTTAACAATAATAATATGTACACGAGAATTAAAATAAAATACGTATATATAATAATGATAACTATTAGCTATAATTAAATAAATCATTTAAATTTAAACAATTTTATTTTTATTTGGCCCGTAAATAAAATAAAAATTAATTAGCAAATAAAAAATAATTCGCCAACTTTTTAGCATTTGACGAAGAATATATTGGCTAAATTAATAAAATAACATGTTTATATATAAAATATTTTACTAATGTAATAAAATTGTAATGAGAGATATTATAATTTTTGAAGAAACATTATTAGTGGTCTTACTAAAAGCGATGGAAGCCAAAACAATATTTTTTATATTTTTTTTCTGTCTGTTCATGTTTGTTCCGTTATCACGTGAAAACTACTTGAACAAATTGAATGCAGTTTCCACAATTATATTGTTAAAGGTCAATTAGCTCTTTCTAACACATAATCAGAAGTGGGTATCTATTTACGAAATCTACGCGTATAAAGTTGCGCGCAAAAGTTAATTTAACATAATTTATCTATTTATTATTATTAATTTAAAATAATTATACGATGATACAATTTTGATAGGCCGATCAAATGAATAATGGAATAAATTTAAATAATCCATTATTAGAATTGATATTAAGATTTCTTTAGTTAAATTTTTATTCTCAAGATATATCATCGTTTTTCTTTGACAACAGGTGTGTGATGTTACAATTTCATAATCTGGTTTCCTTTTAAAACAAGGCCATCGATGGTCGTCAAATTGCTACACACTAGACAAGTTTTTTATACATAAGGTACGTTGATCTGGTTTAACATAATAAATTATAATTATATATTAGCTAAGTGGAATACTCTAATATTATATTTTAACTTTAACTAGTTTTTAACCATGTCTTTGTCTGCATGCCCGGAATATATTGTTTGACCGAGATAAAAAGTATCCTATGCAGGGACATAAGCTATTTTTTTATCCCGACAAATAATAATACGAAGTACCTATTTGAGGTAGTGACGGTTTTATATAAAATGTATATACCAAATTCATGAGTCGTTCAATAGTGGATTATTCACAAAATAAATCAAACTCACTTTCATATTTATAATATTAGGCTACACAGAATTGAAATATTAAATGATTACCATAAAAATATTCATTTAAATTTTAGTAGCTATTACCGGTATTGATATTGGCCCTTTTTAATTCAAGGGGCTGCTTCATCCTCCTTTTTATGCATTAGTTAAATAAGATATCAAGCAGTAAGCTTTGAGCGCGCGTTGTTAACTTCAAAAACGGAGGAGATTCTCAATTCTATTGTATATTTTTATGTTAGTTACATCAGAACGTCGCCATTTATAAACCGAATTGGAAATATTTTCTTTTATCTGAAAGGATTTACTTTCAAAAATTTTATCAAAATTAATATAGTTATTTCATGAAAGTAACTGGTTTTGTTACGATTAGAATCGGTGTATTTGTTTTTTGGAAATTTTTATTATTAGATTTTTTGTTATTTGACTTCCAGTAATCTCTGTGTCTTAATGGACAACGTATGTTATGGTAACCAATAATACAAAAACTAAATCCAAGTATATCAAACAACTAATGTAAGATTATCATATATTATATCAGCTGCAAAAATAATTATTGGAAGTAGTTTAGTTGCATAAAAAAACGCGCACGCACGCACACATGCACGCCCGTCCGTCCGCCCGACCGCAAGCACGCATGCACGCACGATAAGAAGTAGGTATTTCAT